ATGCTGTCTCGATGAGTGTGACCGTAGAATTGACCCTGAACGACGTCACTGTAGTTGCGAAATATTTTGACCAGTCGTTCATTGTAGCTTTCCCGGACGGCTGTTGTATTTATAGCATAGGGTAGGTAACCGATGGGGACGTGAGCAATTACATAGACCTCAGAGGAAAAGATGACAGTGAAATTAAGGTCAGCAGTCACTCACACACCACTGCTGTCACTTACATGTGCATACCACTATGCAAATGTTAATATACAGTCTTGTAATAAAATGGCCCTGTATGATCAGTGCAGCGGGTTCTTTCTAAAATTAAAATGCCTTGTAAAAGCAAACAGAATATGCTCACCTTCTCCAGCTTTTGTCTTGACAGCTCAAGTGTTTCCTGCAGCCACTGGAACTGCCCAGCAGGGTCAGTCATATTTACAGTCACTTGATTAGGACTGTAGTACAGGTTTGTGTTGAGACTCACCAGACGGAGGCCAGGTTTGATCACAAGAGAGTAAAAGCCACCTTTACGCAAATAAGTGACATACGAAGAGCATTAGCTTACTATATTGTCACAGCTAAAGTCCACTGTTAAGTGTGCACACCACAGTCACAAAGAGAGAGAAAAAAAGCTAATATTAATGAAAAATATTTGTGGGAAAAATATATGTAATTTTTTAGTTTAGATTTAAATTAATAAATTTTATATATATTTTATATACTTATATATTTTATATAATTTTGCATATTTTTTTCTCTGAAAAGAAAAAAAAACCAGTATTTATAATGCATATTTTGCATTATACTGTTGTTTGCATCTAAGTATTTTAGCAAGACTAAAACTCTGTATTGACTAATCGGCATCCATTATCTCCAAATAATCAAATCATTTAAATGTTCACACATGTAGTGGAACATCTTCCTTATTATCAGTTACCTTTTTGCAAAGTAGCTACAGCTTCTGGGTTCAACCACGGAGACCAGAGTTTGGCTACAGCATCGTAAATCGCATTTGCGGATGTTGGCAACTGATCCTAAGAAGTTTTAAAGCAAGATTCTTTTAAAAATGTTAAAGATTCAACACAGCATAAACAATTGTGCATTTTCAGAATACTATATACTAGTTTTAACATTTTAGCAAAAGACAGAGCAAGACGTTTCAAAAATGGCATCCCATAAAAATATTAAATCAACAAAAACATTGTTTTCAACATTGATAATAATGCTAAAAAAATTTGAGCACCAAATCAGCACACTATAATGATTTCTGAAGGATCATGTGACACTGAAGACTGGAGTAATGTCTACTGAAAACTCAGCTTTACTATCACAGGAATAAATTACATTTTAAAATATATTCAAAAGGAAAGCAGTTATTTTAAATTGTAAAAAATATTACCATCTTTTCTGTATTTTTATCAAATAAATGCAGCCACTCAGTGCCACAGATAAAGTGTGAATGTTTGAAATGTTTTTCATCACATAAGTTTTTTTTTTGTTTTTTTGCATTTTTATTTTTAAAAAAAAAAAAAAAATCTAAATAAACTATTTAACCAAATATTCATATGAATTTTTTATATTTAATATATTAAATTTTATTTTATATATTTATATTTTATATTTCAGTGTATACAAGCAGTATGCAAATTTTCCATTCAAACAACCCAAAACATTTGGACTTTATTTGACCATAGAAATGTCGTCTTGGATTGAATTCCTAGCCAAAAATTGTAGTTGCCCTTGGGATTGAAATACCTGTGGCCAGTAGTCGTGGTTGCCCAAGGCAGGATAAACTGGCAGCTGTGGGAAGAACTGACGTATGGTGTGAGTCATATTGGCAATAACATCAATCACTACATCAGTGGACAGTTCTTCTTTCGGGACGTGAGGAGGGCTGTCTCTGCAACGAGGGGCACAACATTTAAAGAAAAAAAGTGAATAAATATATTAAAGAACAAAATCATAATGTGTTCATTAGCTACCAAATTCAGTTATCTCCCATTTAACCCAAGTAAAATCACAGAACAGCCGCAAGCCAGTAAATGAGACTGCTTTATACCCTGTCCATATAATGAACTCAGGCTGCAGGTCTGCTTGTTTCATGTAACTGAATGCTGAGAGAATGAGCTGGTACGGGGAATCACACAGGAAATCACCAAAAACTCCTGGGTCCAATGCAGGAACACCCTTGGAGGAAAAACAGACTTTGGTGTGGTCTTCTGTGATATGGTAGGTTGGATCCAAGTGCAGGTCTGAGATATGCCAGAATTTAGCTGGAATTTAAGATGCTTGTGTTACATTCATTTCACAAATATGTAAAATACTCTCCTTATACTGTACACTGATATGTCAAATATCGTGTCTCATTCAGGAGCTGTAGAGATATTTCACTGCAAACCAGGTACAATGCTAAAGCATGTCATGCTTTCGAAGTGCACTGAACTTGAAACTATGAATCCTTATGTACTCTTTAGATTGACTTCCTCATGCAAATATTTTAAAAAATAATCTTTTTTTTTTTTTTTGACCCAGTAGACAGATATTATTGGCTGTTAACTGTTCATTTTATTAACTTTTTTCTGCCGTCCAGCATAACCCCCCCCCCCAAACAGCATCATTAATATAATAGCAGACATTTGAAACAGATCTTGTTTACAGTACTTGCTCATAGAATTGTGAAACATTGTGAATATTTGCTACTTATGCATTGTAGTTATTTCAGTTTTTTTATTTTTAAATAAATTTATGAAGTTGTGACAATTCTGTTTTTGCTTTGTCAGTATGGTGTATGGAGTGTAGGTTGATGTAGAAAAAAAAAAGTAATTTAAAGCAGTTTAACATAAGGCATATTATATATATATATATATATATAACACATACATACATACATACATACACACACGTACACATATATATACACATATACACACATATACACACATATACATACATACATATACACACATATATATATACACATATATACATATATATAGGGTGA